AATGGGTGTTGCACTTTGTCGAAAGCTTTCTCAGCATCTATTGATATTATCATATGGTTTTTATATTTCTTTTTGTTGATGTGTTGGATAACGTTGATTGATTTTCGGATGTTAAACCATCCTTGTGCCCCTGGAATGAATCCAACTTGGTCGTGGTGAATTATCTTATGGATACATTGTTGGATTCTGATAGCTAAAATTTTATTGAGGATTTTTGCATCAGTGTTCATTAGGGAGATTGGCCTATAGTTTTCCTTTTTTGTGTTGTCCTTATTCGGTTTTGGTATTAGTGTAATATTGGCTTCATAGAACGTGTTTGGTATTGTCCCTTCCTTCTCAATTTTTTGGAAGAGTTTGTGAAGGATAGGCACTAATTCGTCTCTGAATGTTTGGTAGAATTCATTTGTAAATCCATCAGGTCCTGGGCTTTTGTTTTTGGGGAGGTTTTTAATTACCATTTCAATTTCGCTGCTTGTAATTGGTCTGTTTAGGTGTTCTATTTCTTCTTTATCTAGCTTTGGGTGATTGTAGAGTTGTAGGAATTTGTCCATCTCCTCTAGATTGTTGAACTTGTTTCCATATAACTGTTCATAGTAGTTACTGATTATTCTTTTGATTTCTGCTGTGTCCGTTGTGATTTCTCCTCTTTCATTTATGATTCTGTGTATTTGTGCTTTCTCCCTTTTTTCCTTTGTGAGCCTGGCTAGGGGTTTGTCTATTTTATTTATTTTTTCAAAGAACCAGCTCTTGGTTTCATTGATCTTTTGGATTGTTTTTTTAGTTTCAATTTCATTTATTTCTGCTTTGGTTTTTATTATTTCTTTTCTTCTACTGGTTCTGGGTTTTTTTGTTGTTCTTTTTCTAGATCTTTGAGCTTCGAGATTAGGTTGTTTCTTTGAGTTCTTTCTTGTTTTTTGATGTGAGCTTCTATTGCTATATATTTTCCTCTTATTACTGCTTTTGCTGCATCCCATACATTTAGGATATTGGTGTCCTCCTTGTCATTCAATTCAAAGAATTTTTTAATTTCTTCTTTGATCTCCTCATTAGTCCAGTGGTCTTCCAGTAGTGTGGCTTTTAATCTCCATGAGGTAGGATAGTTCCTTGCCTTCTTTTTATGATTTATTTCTAGTTTGATGCCTTCGTGGTCAGAAAAGATGGTTGGTATGATTTCAATCTTGGTGTATCTGTTGATGTTTGTCTTGTGCCCCAGTATGTGATCGATCCTGGAGAATGATCCGTGTGCGCTTGAGAAAAATGTGTACTCCGTTTTTTTTGGGTTTAGTGTTCTATAGATGTCTGTTAAGCCCAAATGCTCTAGGTCCTTATTTAGAGCTTTAGTTTCTTTACTTATTTTTTGTCTTGTTGATCTATCCATTGTTGATAGTGGTGTGTTGAAGTCTCCCACTACGTATGTGTTTTCTCTGATGTCTGTTTTCAGAGAGGACAACAGTTGTCTGATATATTTTGGTGCTCCTTCGTTTGGTGAGTATATGTTAATGAGTGTTATTTCTTCTTGAAGTATTGTCCCCTTGATCATAATGTAGTGACCATTGGGGTCTCTTTTTTTTTTTGAGTTTGAAATCTGTTTTATCTGATATAAGTATAGCTGTTCCTGCTTTCTTTTTTGGCCCATTTGCTTGTAGGATTGTTTTCCATCCTTTGACTTTGAGCCTATTTTTATCTTTTGTAGCTAAATGTGTTTCCTGGAGACAGCAAAAGGTTGGGTTTTGTTTCTTAATCCAGGCTGCAACTCTGTGTCTTTTTATTGAAGAGTTTAGTCCATTTACATTTAGAGTTAATATTGATATGTTAACATCTGTATTTGCCATTATGTTTGTCTTTCCTTTGATTTTATTTATTTATTCTTTTAATAACTTTTTTTTTTTTTGGTCTTCTTTCGTTGTTATTCGTCTCTCTGAGGTTCTGGCTTTAGGATTCCTTGTAGTATTTTTTGGAGTGGGGTTTAGTCGCAATGAAATTCCGGAGTTTCTCTTTGTCTGGGAAGGTCCATATTCTTTCTTCATGGAGGAAAGAGAGCTTTGCGGGATAGAGTATTCTTGGTTGGCATCTGTTTTCTTGGAGTCTGTTGACTATGTCCCTCCACTCTCTCCTTGCCCGTAGTGTTTCTTCAGAGAAGTCTGATGTCAGCCTGATTGGTTTTCCTTTGAATGTTATCTGTTTCTTCCCTCTTGTCAGCTTCATTATTTTTTCCTTGTCCTGGATTCTTGGGAGCTTTACTATTATGTGTCTTGCTGTGTTTTTCCTTTCGTCGTGGAAGTTTGGTGTTCTTCTTGCTTCTTGTATATCAATTTTCAGCTCCTTCTTCTCATTTGGGAAGTTCTCTTCAATTATATCCATGAATATTTTCTCTGTTCCTACATCTCTCTCCTCTCCTTCTGGAATTCCTATAACTCTTATATTTCCTTTCCTCATGGAGTCAGATAGTTCCCGAAGTCTTTCTTCATTCTTTTTCCTTCGTACTTCTCTTTCCTTTTCTGTTTTGGTTCTTTTTATTTCTGTGTCTTCAAGATTACTTATTCGTTCTTCCATTTCATCTATTCTGCTTTCATTGCTTTTCCCAGAGTTCTTTAGTTCCTCCATTAATTCTTTGATCTCCTGCATTTCTCTTACTTCCCTCTTTAGGGACTCAATTTCTTCTTCTGATCTATCACTTTTTAATCATGGCAATTTTAAATTCTCTTTCTGGAAGGCTCAGAAGTTCTTCCAAGTTGCTGTCGTTGCAATCTGGGGAGTGGTTTTCTTTTTGTGGTGTGCTTCTTTCCTGAGGAGTTTTTAGGTTGCGTGTGGTTCTTCTACTCCCTACTGTCTGTTTTCTAATTTGTCGTATGCGTTGGGACACTGTGTTGCTCGGACTGACTGACATCTTGGGTGAACTTCTCCGCTCCCCTCTGGCTCTTCCAGGAGCCATCTCTGTCTTCTGGGGGAGCTTTCTGCTGGTTTTAGGCAGTTTTTACTGAAGAAATGTCCCTGTTCTCAAATGGCGAAGCGGGATGCAGTCCCTGCGCCTCCGGTTTCAGGCACACTCTTCTGCGCACCCGGTCTGCCCCGGACGTGGGTGCCTGCTCCCTCTGTGGGCTCAGACTGCTGGTCGGAAGGGGCTTGGCGTGGAATAACTTCCCGGCTGGCCACTGGGTCCTCCAGAAACCTTCTGCCCTTTTCAAGCAGACTTAAGAAATGTCCTGTTTTATAGGGTGTTAGTGACTTTTTTTTTCCTGGTCGCTAGGTGGCGCCAGAGATCTCTCCTATTGTCCTTGGGGGGCTGTTTTTCGCCTCCCCCACCCCGTGGGACAGAGAACAGAGCGGGAATGGTAGGGTACACCTCAACAGCTTTGGGGTGCTGTGTCTGCCTTGTGCTCCACCGTCGTGGAGAAACCACGCCCCGAATTTTCGTGCCCCGGGTCTCAGTTCAAAGCCCTCAGGTCCAGGACGCGGGCTGTAGCCCAGTTCAGTGGCGCGGGAATGGCGCCTTTTGCACCGCTCCCGTGCCTGGGCGCCTGGTTCCTGCTTACTCAGGGAGGGACCTTCACCTCAGTGAGGACCTCCGTGCGTCTCCCCGCAAGCCTAGGTCGTCTCCCCGCAAGCCTAGGTCGCAGGCGCGGGGACCTGGGCAGCCGCGATCCCGGTCTGCACTTGCTTTTCAAGCGCGCCAGGCGTGCCGCGTTTCCTGCGCAGGCTTACCGGCAGCCCGGGCTGTGTGCGCGTCTCCCGGGGTCTTTGTTCTTCTCTAATGGCGCCCGGAGCCGTTCGCTCACCGCCGCGGCGGATCCTGCAGGGTTCGCCTCAGCTCCCGTTCACGGGGTGTGGTGGCTGCAATAGTTCCTTTCCGCTCACAGTCCCGCTTGCTGCGTCGTTTGTTCTTGTTGGTTGTTTTGGTTTGTTGTTTCCTCCCCTCTGCTGGTCGGAGAGTGCCGCCTCTGTGGGCGGGGGAGGGGAGCAGGGTTCTGCGCTTCCCTCCCTTCTAGTCCTCTTTTATGGCCACTTTCTTCTTCGGGCAGTTCGCTGGCGTCACCCGTTTATCTTCCGTGTCCCAGTTCTCACTGGGACCTGCCGCTTTTCCTCCCTATTCACTTTTTTTAATGGGAGATCTTACTCGCAGCGTCTCCTCGCCGCCATGTTGCTCCACCCCTTTTTCTGCTATTCTCTTTGAAGAATGGGAGGCTATAGTTTGAGTTTGTATTTCCCTAAGGACTAATGATGCTGAGTATATTTTCATGTGTTTATTGTGTATTTTCTTTGATATTGTCTATTCAAATATTTTACCCAATATTTTATTCTTTGTATTAATGTTATTGACTTTTAAAAGTTCTTTATATATTCTGGGTACAAATCCTTTTTAAGTATGTAATTTACAAATATTTTCTCCTCAGCTGTAGGTTTTCTTAACAGTGACTTATGAAAACCAGAAGTTCTAAAATTTGATGAAGTTCATTTTTTTTTGATGGGATAAGACTTTGCCTAACTCCAGGTCACAAAGATTTCTCGTTTTTAGGTAAGATTTAGTATTAGCTTTTTGTATATAAAAACTATGAAAGGTACTTTGTATTCTTCTCAGAAGGTCATGGAAGAATCAGGGTCCCCATGCTCACCCTCCTGCTGCCTTTCTCATCTCCTCTATTTTACTTCCACACTTCCTCATTGCTGCTTCCTGGAAGAAACTTCCAAATAAAACACCAGCACCCAGTTCCTGATCTTGGGCTCTGCTTTTAGGGGGCCTCAAACTAAGGCAGTCATATTTTTTTTCTTCCTATTAGAGAGGATTAAATATCATGGAGATCAAATAATTGTCTTAAGTTGCTGAGCTTATAAGTGGTGATGCTGGGATTTGAACACAGATCTATCTGCTCCCAGGACTTATGTTCATTCCTCATTAGGATGAGTCAATAGGAATTAGTAATATGAACTAATAGTAAAAAATAAATATTTGGTTCTGAAAGGTACATACACCCATAGCCTCATTCAAGCACTCATGCACTAACCTCTTGGCAAGACCATATTCCTCCCTGTTCCATATTCCTGTCGTATTAGAAACCTGGATCCTATAGAATGATGAGGAATGAACACAGGGATACCAAGGAAATCTTCCATCTAGTAGACATGATCTGAAAAACATAACATGTTGTGGCAGGTTATTAAGAACTCGCTATTAAGAAAAAAATATCTCTGTTGACTCTACCTATTTTGCACACTTGTTTCATTAGAAGGTTGATGGGTAATGTGCTAATCAAAACAACCACTGAAAAAGACATCAAACTCAAAATGGCTTAAAGGGAAAGGGATTTGGTTCATGAAACAAGAGTCTGTGTGTAAGAGGACTAGTGAGCCAGTATGTGGTGTTTATAGATAACTGATGGTAGAAGGAAGAGCTTTTTAGACTCTAACCCCTGGAAACTCCCACTTCTAAGGTTAGACAGTTGAATAAACAAAGTAGGATACAGGACACTTACCTTGTAGGACAAGAGTTAACATGGATTCCACGAGTCCGCCTCACCCCGCCCCACCCCCAGCAGATTGCATACAAAGCATCTCTGTACGTGAATATGTGCACTTAGTGTAAAGTATCCACACATTTAATTCAATTATTAGAGGAATTTGTGGACTTTCCCCCCAAAATGATGAAGTCCACAAAACTAGAAATGCTGTATGAATCCTGGAGTCTAAGCTTTTAGAAAAAATGTCATTAGCCTGGAATTCAAAAAATCCATGAAGTGGAATGGGGCAAGTTATTACATCTTTATTTTTATTTCTTAGTAAAATTTAATATTTCCTTTCATTGTGAATATAGATAACAACCCACAGTTGTATTATCAGTACCTATAACTTCATCACATTTGAAAACACCCATTTTCACATTTTCAAGTTACATTAGAGTTTTTATAAACATTGTGAGGTATTGTTTATACTTGTCACCACTTTGAAATTATAGTAATTATCAGGCATGTTGCTAGATCTTTTTAAATTCATTAATAAGTAAAAATATATATACTCTATCACCATTTTAAAATATTTTAATAAAAATGTGTTTTAATATAATTAGATTTTTTGGTAGTCCTCTGTACTTCATATATTTAAAAATATCATTTCAAGGTGAAATCTACTGACCTCAGCAGATAGTCAAAGGGATCCATTTGGCTGAAAACCATACACAAAAGTTGAAAAAGGTTGAAAACCCATGTCTTAGCCACTGTCTACCATGTTGTTATTTGGTGGTAGACTTCTGGTATAAAATCTTGCCCATCCATATGGAGATATAGTTTTCTTTTCCCAATAGGTTCTACTTAGATAATGTTAAATCTCAAGTCCCTCAGCCCCTCAGAAGCATTTTCCCAGTGTGTCAACTACTTGATGGGTCCAGTCCTGGTGAGTGTTTCTCAGTATGGAGTTTAGTATTCCTGCACAAAGGCAAGGTGTAAAAGGATATTCTGTGCATTTTGAAGCTGTTCCAGAAATAACCACTCTTCAGGAAAAGTATCTCATAGGTTTAGAATCTAATTAAATGATGAGAAATGTTGCAATGTGTGCTGTCATTTGCAATGTAGTGCTGGAAGAACCCTCCCTTATCAGGATTTCTGTGCCTCTTTTGGAATTATTTTTCCCCAATAGGTTTAAAATTGGTTTCTTCATCCACACACTTGTTTTTAAGGGGTGGGAAAGCTGAGAGCAATCTTCAGCAACAGATTCACCACTTCAAAATTGAAGTTTAGATGAATACAAGGTCTGGGTCAAGTTCTTGGCCAGCAGTTGGCATACAATTGGGTGGACAGATCAGCAAAGTCTGTGGCTAAACGAATTTGTGAGTTACATGCTGTTTGAATTGATGCCAGAGAAATATATCAAACTGCATTATTGCAAGGGAAGAACTTTAAAACTTTTATATGTAATTAATAAGACATTTGGATTTTATTCAATGTGGAGAGAAAACTGTCAGTTGTTTAGTCAGAAAGCAGATGATGACTCAGGATTGTCATTACCCCTGTCTGTGTAGGATAATGTTGTTACAGTATTTGTAACCTACTTATAACTTTACATTTCCAAGCTGCCTGTAAACATGTCTTTTTTTGTCACAACTGAGTATATTTATGCTAGAGAGAAGGACGACTAAGTAGACAACAGCATGCTCCAGGTACTCCAAAAAAGCAGCTTAGGCAAAGAAAGATCCCAGGGTTTATTTGCTAGAGAATTTTGCGGTACAAGTAATCAACAATATCTAAATTTGTATGAGATGGTTATTTTGTTTGTTTTGCCTTAATATTATTTCCTATTGCCTGAAATGGTGGGAATGGCTTCCAGCCTAGTCTCACCGAGCACGGGAGTGACAAGGACTCGCTTCCCTCTTTCTGTTACAGGCTTTCTCCTCAATGATGGGTTCTTCCTGTGATGGTGCAGTGGCTGTGGGCATTCAGGAGCCCCTGGCTTCATTGATGTGATGCTGATGGAAATACAGAGTGGCTCCAATTGGCTTGCCCTGGATCTTGTGCTTATTCCTGAACCAACAACTGCAAGAGGGGATAGAATAAAGGGGGGTTAGCTCAACCCAATAAGGGTTCATTTGAGGTCATACCCAGAGAGAGTCATTCCCTTCTAAAACCTCAGGACTTTTCTACAAGGGCTGCTAGTGCCTATCAGTCTAACACAATCTTGCTGAAAATTTTGTTTGCTATCATTAGTCTCCCCTTCAGGAACTCTACAGTTGGATCAGAGACCCAAATCAACCCTCCTCACCAAGGAAAATCCCTGTGGACACGGGATAAACACTACAGGTTAAATATGTAGCTTCAGTTGGTCTTAGCTCTGTCAACCACAGGGCAGAACAAACAGAACAGTTGTCTGAGTCTAGATATTCCTCCCTAAACATGTTGCTGGCTGATACGAAAATCCCCAAACCAGCCAGTTCTTCCAGTCCCTGAACAATGAATTCCCCACCAAGACAGGAATTTCTCTAAGGATTATCAAGCAGAAGGGATTCTTAAATTTAAGTAGATAGATTAGCTTTGTGTTTCCACACACACGTACACCATCTCAGGTAACAAAATATCAGTAAGTCAGTCTTGTATGCTTTCTACTTGACAGTCCAACATCCCAAAGTTAATAAAACAGAAGTTCTCTGTTATTTAAGTCAACCATTACTTGATTTTTTTTTTTAGAAATTAGATACTTGCATCTTGGTTTAACACAGATTCTGATTCAATAACTGTATTTGTAAGTCCTATAAATTCAACCATAGAATATACAGACCAGCAAGCCGGATTTGTAGCCCTTTCTAATTCCCTACAGTGCTTCAAAACAAAGTGGATGTTTTGGGAGGTATCAATTATTCTTGCGACACCTATGTCATGCTCATTGCATCACTAGTAGTGTCAGGTGTTAGGGCTCCCATTCTGCCTGCGATATATAGCAAAAAGAACAAAAAAGGCCACCAGGAAAATCACATTCAGAGAAAGCTTTGATAATTTAAGAGTGTTTATTTTGGGGCCTCCCCTGGTGGCACAGCGGTTGAGCGCTGGGTTGCGAGGCTGCCTGCAGCCTCTGCAACGCTGGTTCAATTCCTGGCCACCGGCGAGGGTCCCACCAAAAAAAAAAAAAAAAAAAAAAAAGAGTGTTTATTTTGTTTTCATGTTGTTTTTATTGAGGTAACATTGGGTTACAACACAGTACATGATTGAGGGGTATGAGTTCACACCTCCTCAGATATGTGTCACCACAGGTCCCCCACCACCAAAACACCAATAATCTTTCACCCCTCTCCTCTGGAACACTTGCCCCAACTCTTCCCTTCTGGTAGCCTCAGTTCTGTAGATTCTAGGGCTTGGTTCCTTTGTCTTGTTCCTTTATATAAGTGCAATCATCTGGTATTTGTCTTTCTTCTTCTAACTTACTTCATTTAACATAATTTCCTCTACTTCTATGGATATCACAAATGGCAAGACTTCATGTTTATTTAGCCGAGTAGTATTCCGTGATGTATATATATCACATCGTCTTTATCCATTCATCCACTGTCGGGCATGTGGGCTGTCCCCGTAACTTGGCTATTGTACATCATACGGCAATGAGCATGGGGGTGTACATAGCCTTTGCATTAGTGTCTTTGAATTCTTCAGATAGATACCATGTCTCTTTTTAGGGCTGTTTATAATAATCATTTTGTCATTTTATTTATTTTATCATTTTAATCACTGCATATGAAGAGACATGAAAAACCAGAGCCATTTCTAGGAAAGAACCACAGCTCAGAGGCATGAGCATGAGAAACGTGGTTTGTAGGCTTTGTCTCACCAGGATTTCCTGAAAGAACGTAGAGATTTCCTGCGTGTTTTTTATTCTCTTATTTATGGTGCCACCGACTTTAATAGACAGTATTGGTTGTCCCTGATTTCTAAGCTCTGGTTGAGAGAAGGGCAGTGTCTGCAGATACAGCCAGCCATTCATACAGCGGAGCTCACTTGTTGCATTACCAATTGGAGACATTAGTTCTCTGGAAATACGGTATGTCAATAAAAGCCACGTCCAGTGGGGCAGGCATGTCCCCATTGCTCATGCTTACTTGGAGGAAACCAGAGAGTACCTGCTCTCTTGCGCTCTTTTTTTTTTTTAAAGATTTATTTTTATACAAGAACTGGGGTACAGGCCAGAGGCGCGGGAGGGTGAGAGGATTCACCAGAGACAGAGTGTGGAACAGAACAGGCAGACTGACCAAAATACACTGCTGAGGGGAGCAGTGGGCGAGACAGGAGAGGTCTGCCTCGCCATGTGGGTATCTCCCTGGCTGGCTGGGAATCGAACCTGCGCTGCAGAGGCTGTGGACAGCTTCATAGCACTGTGCTCAACCCGCTGCACCACCAGGGTAATAACATTTTAAATTATGTAATAACATTTTAAATTATGTTTTTTTAACATTCATTGGTATGAAGAGGAAGCTTCACTCCTGAAACGTTTTTTCCTAAGTTTTCAAATTAAGTTAAAAACTTAGTTTGAGAAGATTTAGTATACTTTTACGCAGTTTATTAAATCTTAAGACTAAATTATTATTAGCTTCACACAACCATTCATGTAAAATAAGTTTATTGATAACATAATTTACTCCCTATATTTGATATTAGGGTCTTTGAGATATGCAGGATCCTTGTATGTAACTGGCATAAATCCCATTATTTGAGCTCTCTTTATTGCTTTTGTGATTTCTTTTTGTTTCTTCCCACAAAGACCTGTTATGTGCCTTCCATAAATGCATCCAGTAAATGGAGAAATAAACTGGGACAAAAGCTGTACATTCTTATAATCTACACGTTTTCCACACAAGATACATTTTTTAAGAGGCTCCTTATAAGGGTTTTCCATTGGAATGGGCATGTCCTCATTGCTTGTTATCTGTTGATACTGTGAATAATTTTTCCAAAACACTGTGTGAGTCCCCGGATGTGTGAGACGAACTGTAGTCTTTAAAAAGTGCGTCAACTTTGTCCTCCCTAGACCACTACAAACAGCAAGCACAGACGCCATGTTTCTCGCCCCTCCTCTTCCTCTTTCTCTTGCGCTCTTGCTGAGGATGTGGCGAGGTGTGAAGATTGAAAGGAGTTCTGACATCAAATGAAGTGATGTGTGGCAATTAGTTATCTCAAATCCCATAGCTTGAAGCTGAATTATCCATCACCTGCTTCCTCCTTAACCAGGCCTGTATGTGCACAATCATGCTGTAGACGGGGTTGACAATCCACAGTCCATGAACTGAACCTGGCCCACTGCCTATTTTGATAAAACCAAGTTTCATTGAAACTCAACCACGTTCCTTATTTAGGTATGGTCTCGGTGTTGCTGTTGTGCTGCACAGAGAATTCAATAGTTGTGACTGAGGCCAAGTGGCACACATTGCATAAGATATCTGATCCTTTACAGAAAATGTTTGCCAACTTCTGCTTTAGCATGTCATTAAAGAAAAAGAAAAAATAATTAATTTCTTATAGTGAGATATCAAGAGAAAACATCTTAATAAATTGAGAAATAGTCATAAGTGTGTTATTGACACTTTTAACAATGCTTAATTAAGGACTATGTTTCACCAAGACCTTGCCCAACTTACCATCTACCCTACACCCGTTTCTTTTTGTCGGGCTCCTTGATCAGTTAGTGTTCTAGTCTACTGCATCTCAAAACTGTTAGAATCTCTCAGAATTGGATCAAATCCAGATTGCAGGGCCCACATCCAGATTCTCATTCAGGCAGTAGGAGTTCAGACAACTAGCATTTCTAATGAGCTCTCAGATGTTGATGCTGATGTTGCTGGCCCCTGGACCACACTTCAAGTAGCAAGGTGTTAGCCAACCTCCCCCCAGCATAGGAGCATGTTTTCATCGCCACATCTTTTGACTTTGCTCTTCCATCTGCTCAGATAACCTTCCCTTGTCTTTGGGGAAAATTCTAATCATCTTTCATGACAAAATTTAGTGTTATCTCCTTTGTGATCCTTCCTCTGCCTTATCTTTTATTTATTTATTGTTTGTTTGTTTATATATTTTTAAAGATTTATTTATTTTTTATACAAGAGCTGGGGTAGAGGCCAGAGGCATGGGAGAGTGAGAGGATTCACCAAAGACAGAGTGGGGAGCTGAACAGGCAGACGACAGAAATACACCACTGAGGGGAGCAGCAGGAGAGGTCTGCTGCGCCATGTGGGACCCTCACTGGCTGGCTGGGATTGAACTGGCGCTGCAGAGGCTGCGGACAGCTTCACAGCGCAGCGCTCAACACACTGTGCCACTGGGGAGGCCCTGCCCTATCTTTTACCCTTTAAGAATCAGTCCTTCTTTATTAGCTTTCTCCCACTTCCCTTTCATCTAAACACAACTGAGCGGCTTTTCTCATTGGGCTACAGTTTGACTTTATGCATCTGTATTTCCCACCAGATTGTGAGTTCACTGAGATCTACTAATTCACATCTATTAATTTTCTAAAGCCACACATCCTTTTCACAATCAGAGTTTTGGATATGAAGACAATTGTTAAATATTTTTTTTATTATTTATTATTATTTAATTATCTCTCCTATTTCTTCCTTAGGTTAAACTATAATTGCATTGCAACTTCATACTAGAGGTTTTATTCATTTTTTCCTCTTAAAATTATGTACCAGATGGCACAGGACAGCTTCAGTTGAATTCTCTAGGGGCGGTAGGGTTTTAGATACTGCTGTGCACAACAAGGATTATCAAGGAGCATTAGCATAGTCAAACAATTATACCCCCTTTAAAAACCATTGTCCTCAGAGACTCCCAGCAGGACAGAATCATTAGCAACAAAACATCATCAACACACTTTCCAAAGAGGAAGGATGTAACCTGTGTGTAATGGAAGGAAATTGGACCAGTGAGACTGTTTACCCCACCTACCTAAGCTTCATTTCAAGTTGCGACCCATCAAAGCCTATAAATTAACTTGAGATTCAAGAGGAGTTTAAAAAACTAAGACTGTCTCAAAGGTGGGAAAGTATCTGATTTGCTACTTCCTTCTTTGAGCTAGGCCACAAAGGGCACCTCAGCACACCACAATAAAGAAGAGGGATGGTCCCCTCAAAGAGTTCATTTGTTTGGTTGAAATTTCTCATACGAGCATTAGCATTTCCAGACAGAAGCAGAGAGGAGTTATAGGAAACTGGGGGACAATCACACATATTAGTTTCATAAAATCATTTACTCTTTCTTATAAAAGATCAGCCATAATATTTTATAAGTCTGTGCTTTTGTGAGAACACCTGCCCAAGACTGATGACTTCACATCTACCAGCACGGATCTAATGAAATGGATACTGTCATGTAATTATTCCCCACACACCCAATTATTCTGCTCCTTTTCCCCCAAATTAATCCTTTTGCCAAATCTACACCTTTTGTCCCAGGGGCTTGAGTAGGGAGTTTAGTACCATTACCTTAGCCAACTTGTAGAGTGAGTGGCTAACAGATGAGCAGTGATATAATACCCTTGCCATCCCCCATCCTTTTTAATGAGTTTGCTTCATGCAGACTTTCTTATAAAAATTCTGCATTCCATACTCAGATCCCTCAACCTCTTAAATTATTCAAATTCCATACATTGTTGTTCACTCTTTGTGCCATAAAGTCCTATGTATATTAACAAATGCATAGTATTATGTATCTACAACCATAATATAATAAAAATAGTTTTATTTCCCTAAAAATCACTCTCTGTGCTTCACCTATTCAACCTGTTCCCTGGCAATCACTGACCTGTTTACATGGCTTACAGTTTTGCCTATTCTATAGTTTCACATAATTGAAAGCATAAAGTATGGTAACTTTTTAAGATGGTTTCTTTAACTTAGCAATATATATTTAACATCATCTGTGTCTTTGACAGGCTTTGATAGATGCTTTCTTTTAATCATTGAATAGGCTTCTGTTACAAGGCTAGATCATCATTTGTTTACAGATTCATCTATTGAAGAACATGTGGGTTCCTTCTGATTTTGGGTGATTAGAAATAAAACTACTATGAACATTACATGCAGACTGTGTATGTATGTAAGTTTTCAAATCATCATATGCTGAGAATTGTGATTGCAGGCTCATACAAAAGACTATGTTGAGCATTGTTAGACGCTGCCAAATAATCTTCCAAAGTGGTGGTGCCCCAGCAATGAATGAGAGTTCCTGTTCCTTCCCATCCTTCATAGCTATTGGAGTAGTCAGTTCATTTGTTGTTTTTTATTAATTTTTAGCCATACTAATAAGTTATGTAGTGATGAAATTGATAATTTTTAAATTTTTATTTATTTTTTACTCTCCTTTAAAAAAAAAGATTTATTTATTTATTTATACAAGCACTGGGTACAGTCAGAAGCACAGGAGGGTGAGGGAATTCACCAGAGCTAGAGCAGGGAGCAGAGCAGGCAGAAGGACCGAAGTACACTGCTGAGGGGAGCAGCGGGCGGCAGGAGAGGTCTGCGCGCCATGCGGGACCCTCCTCTAGTGGCCGGGGAGCAGCCGGGGATTGAACCGGCTCTCCAGAGGCTGCAGGCAGCTTCACAACCCAGCGCTCAACCGCTGAGCCACCGGAGAGGCCCTTGATAATTTTTTTAAATGCTTGCTTAGATTTTTAAAAATTTATGATCTTCAAAAATTCATTTCAGTTTCTTTAAACTTGAGTTTCTTTAAACAGCTCTCCTAAGTATATCTTCCCCTATTTATATAAAGATTTCTTAATGGAAGCAGGAGCATCAAAATGATGTAGTAGAGCTTTGGTCCTTGTCGTAACAGCATGGTCATCACCTGGGAGTGATGCAGAATCTTGGGCCTTGACACAGACTGGCTAAATCAGGTTCTAACAAGACCTATCCCCCCAACCCCAGTGAGTTACATATGTTCATGTTTACAAGGCATTACTCTAGCATCAGCATAGCACTGATTCATAAAGTTAGATAGAACCCTGCTGGCTGGCAAGGAAACTTTCCTAGAGCTTTGTGTACTGTGTGTGGTTGTATGTCCCATAGCAATAATGTGCTGCTAATCCTTTTGAATCTTTCTTAGAGAAGGTAACAAGTTTGCCCAAAGTTACACACGTTATTACACATAAAGAGAAAAAATAAACTAAGGTTTATTGCCCATTATACAGCAACATAAAATAAGACGAATCTGAAATCACAAGTCACTGGGAAAACTATATTTACATTACACAAACTCAAAGAAAACATATAAAGACCAACACTATACAAAGTGAGGCAAGCCCGCAGTGGCTCCTGGCTGAGTCTTCCCTGAGCAGAACTGTGTTTCCTGTCACATTAATGTAAAGTACCTGGGTCTCTATTTGGCCTCTAGGAAAAGCTAAAAATAATAATCTTTTATTTACCAATACCAGCCAAGCAGCTGTGAACTCTTAATCTTACAATAGCACTTAATCACCAGCCCAAGAGAACATAAATAACCCTGGGGCCGAGTATTGATGCAAACATTCTAATGTGGGAATTGCAGCACAGTAATTCAAACCCATAGCTGCCACCGGAGGAGCGGGGAGTAAAATCACCTCCTTCCTTGGCTGGGAATAGGTACCCTCAGAGAATGCTGTTCTTTCAGTCCCAACTCCCATGTCTTGATAAGGTTTATGGTTGTAATACCCAGGGATCACCCAACAACTACAGTGGGGTTGCCCTCCATGACACTCAGAGTTCATTCAACATTGTACATTTGACTCTTATAAGCCTTTGTTCCTTGCCACTTAAAATGTGGTTCACAAACCAGTCATTTGGAATCTTATTATAAATGCAGATTCTCAGGCCATGCTCACTCTGCTGAATCAGAATGCATATTTTAAACAAAATACCTAAGTGATTTATATATCCATGAAGATTTGCAAAGCCCTACTGTGGATGGACATGTAATACAGGACAAGCATCCAAGTTTGTCCTGTTATACAGGACAAGCTTGGAAGCTTGTCCTGTTTTGAGGGCAAGTAACTCATATTTCTACCCTACAAGACTTATATCTGAGAGTCATTGATAGAGACATAGAACGACATATGAAGTACCACTTCTG